CGCCAAGATAAGAAGGACAAGAGCCGGGCTCCCATTTCTGCAAAACTTGTGGCCAACATGCTCTCGGTGGCTGGGGCGGACCACATCATCACCATGGACCTGCATGCCTCGCAGATCCAGGGCTTCTTCGACATCCCGGTAGATAACTTGTATGCGGAGCCTGCGGTCCTGCAATGGATCCGGGAGAACATCACCGAGTGGAGGAACTGCATCATCGTCTCCCCGGATGCGGGCGGCGCCAAAAGGGTGACATCGATTGCCGACAGATTGAATGTGGAGTTCGCTTTGATTCACAAAGAGAGGAAGAAGGCAAATGAGGTGGACCGGATGGTTCTGGTGGGTGACGTGAAGGACCGCGTGGCCATCCTGGTGGACGACATGGCCGACACTTGTGGTACAATATGCCACGCTGCAGACAAGCTACTCTCGGCTGGAGCCACCAAAGTCTACGCGATCCTGACCCATGGAATCTTGTCTGGGCCAGCCATTTCCAGAATCAATAATGCTGCCTTTGAGGCGGTGGTCGTCACAAACACAATTCCGCAAGAGGACAAAATGAAACTCTGCTCCAAGATTCAGGTTATCGACATTTCCATGATACTGGCGGAGAACATACGTAGGACACACAACGGTGAATCTGTGTCTTACCTGTTCAGCCATGTTCCCTTATAACTCTCTTGTCCAGCAAGCCCACTCTGACTTTTTTCTCTGTCTGTTTTGTTTTGTTTTTAGCATTAGGACTAACAATGATAGGATAATGAATAGTGAAAAACATTGCATCTTTTTTTCTCTGAGATTCATCCCCCCCTAACCCGCCCCCCACTTTGAAAGCTTGAGACCACTCATTTCTGGATGTGCGGGGAGGGCGGTGGTTAAATGTTTGTGCCTTCTTTCTGTTTCTGTTCTGACAGGTTACCTTTCCCTTTGTTCTTTCTGTCCTTTAAGGCCACACGTTGCAAGTATACAGTTTCATTGTGGGAGCTTACAGTTTACACACACATCCAGAGTTGCCAAAAGTTAATTGCCAACTAAAGGCACTCGTGTTAATATATTGTGATAATCTTTTTTTTAGTAAAATAAAATCAGTTATAAATTTTTGTTCTTATTTTAGTAACCAGGGTTGAAATAAATCACCTTGGTTAGTGTGTTTAATTTGAACCAATTTTTTTTTAGCTTAAAATGGCCATTATGCATCCAGTTTTCCACAACTGTCAGAGCTGATACCATGGAGTTTAGTGTCATTTTTGTTGTTGTTGTTTTTAATGGCCACTCCTGGAAACTAAGTTGTAACTCCAACTTGGAATCCTAGAATGTCGTTCCAACATAGATCTGATTTTGAGATGTAGCCTCAGAGCACTGCCACCTCCCTGCTCTCACCCTCAATGCTTTGAGGTGCCTCTCACCAGTCCTCCCAGGTGGCCTTCACATGTCCTCAACCCCCACCCTCACATTTACCAATCTGATTAGTTTTTGACATAACTAAAAAGGCACATTTTTTTATAAGTGCTACCAAATAACACATTTAAGCATTATATCGTTATTATATTTTTTATAAAGTGTTCTTTCACCTTTAGTAATTGCAGAGAGCAAGTCTCTCAGCAAGTGATGATTTTAAATAAAAGTTGTTATGTGAAAAATGTCAGGAAAGGAGGCCTATGAGAAAAGTACAACATTCTCCTCATTTCTCCTTGAGGAGAATGTTAAAAAAATAGCCCCAATGGCCATGGAAGGGAGATCCCCTGAAGCTGCATTATCCACACACAGCTCTTTCCAGCATTTTCCTAAGGAGGTGCCTCACTGCCACTGTGGCAAGAGTCAAGCATCAGACTTTTAAAATTTATGAGATGTGCATTGGTGGGATATCCAGCTGAATAATTTAATCTCTCCCTCCCCAAAGAAGAGGATGTACCAACATAGACAAAGCCTTGGAATAATAACTCGGAGAACATTTCTTTGACCAAAATTCTGCACATGGAAAATCAGAGCTGTTTTGGACATTAACAAACTTGACCACAGTGGAGGCTGCATTGAAGTTAGAAAGCAATGTTTTTGTTGTAGTTGCAGAAACTAGCATTTTTGTGTACCTTCAAATGACTATTGGGAAAGATTAATATTGTAGCTTGGCAAAATCAGCTATGTAAAAACCAGATGGGGAATCCAACTCAAAAGAATTGGCTTGAGATGTGTAAAGAGCCTGATTTGATGCTATGTAACTTTTATTAACTAAGATACATGTATGCTATTTGTATTTGTTTGGATTTTTTTGTGTAGAAAAGTAGAAATGTAGCTGTTAACACACATAAGCTATCAGCTTGATACACATGTGTAGACATGTTGACATTAATGAAAGTATAAGTTGATTTTTAAATTTTCATTTTATCTGAGATCATGATCTGTATATTAAAAAAATGAGTGTAAAAATCTGCGTCACTATTCTCTGAGTTACAAAATTATTGCTTCTCTCAGTATAAATAACCTATCTATCTTTGTATTTTAAAGTTTTATTAAATACATTTAGAAACTAATTTGACTAAGCTTAGACATGCACAGTGGAAATGTGGATACGTAGTCTTTGATGGTTCCCAACAGAGCTCTGGTGTGACACTATAGGATAAGCAATGGACTGCTACCAGCAAGGTCGGCAGTTCAAGTCCACCAGCCACTCTCAGCTATCAGGACCTAATCTCCCTCCTGTCAAAAAAATTTTTTCACAAAATTAAAAAAAAAAAGATTCTTCCTAATAAGCCCCCATGAGCATCCTTTGTGTAACCTTGTGTGAATTATTGTTAATAAATTATGTAAAATAGCAAGTGTAATTCGTGTTTCAAAATACCAAATTGCAGTTTTTTAAATTCTTCACTAAGAAGAGAGATAACATGGTGAGTTATAGAGAGCAATTGAGTAGAAGCCAGTAAACATGGGTTACATCGTTCTAGCTCTTTTTTAAACTAGTTATGTGACCTTGGGTAGGTCATTTAACTTTGTTCTTATTGCTAGGTGCAGTTGAGTTCTGACTCATAGTGACCCTGTATAGGGTTTCCAAGGTACTTAGTAGCTGGTGAGCTTGAACCGTCGACCTTGTGGTTCAAACAAACTTTACAGTCCAACACATTAACCCACAGCGCCACACCAGGACTCCATATACTCTAAAATGTATAGACTTGATCCACAGCAAGGTAGGCAGTTCAAACTCACCAGTTGCTCCTTGGAAACCCTCTACAGGGTTGATATGGGTTGGAACTGACTTGACAGCACCTAACAACAAAATGTATGGGTTTGGTTTGCTACTTCTGGTTATTTTTGTTGTTTTTGCTTAACTTTTTAAAATTAGGAAATGTTTTTAAAGTATAGAAAAGTATAGTGAATAAAGTAATGGACACATACATATGAAATCACCAATTTTAACACTTTAATATGGTTGCTTTAGAACTTAATTTTTTTTTTAAGACGTAAACTGTTTCAGATTGAAGCCTCCAATCAATCCCAGTCCCTTTACTTTGCTCCGGAAGATAAACACTTCTGAATTTGATGTTTATCATTCTCTTGCAATTTGTGATACTTCTATTAAGTAATATGTAAAATAGTTTTACCTGTCTGTTATGATGCTATAGGGTAAGCACTGAACCACAAGGTAGGTTTGAACTACAGAGTCAGCAGTTCAAACTCACCAGCCGCTCCTCAGAAACCCTATACAGGGACGCTATGAGTCGGAATCAACTCGATGTCACTTAAAAACAAATGTTATATACATGATATCATACTATATGTTTGATATTTATTATTTTGGTGTATAGATTTCTCAGGTTAAAGTTTTCTTAGAATTTTTGTTATTTGTTTCTAAATGATGAGCAAGTGTTGAATATTGTCAATTGCTTTTTTGGGGTGTGGTGCTGTGGGTTAATGTGCTGGACCTCAAGGTCGGTTTGAACTGCAAGGTCAGTGGTTCAAACTCACCAGAAGCTCTTCAAGGTCACTCTGGGTTGGAACCCACTCGACAGCACACAACATTAAGATGACCACAGGGCTTTTCTCCTTCCGCCTATTTCGGTGGGGAACTATACATATTAATAGATTTTCTGATGTTATTTTTATATTCCTAGGATAATGCCAACTTAGTTATGATATTCCTTCTGGGCCGTAACTTGTGTGGTTTATATAGCTGTTTATGGATAGTAACTCAACTTTTTTGTTTCTTATTCCAGGCAATTTTTCAGTGATGTCATTACAAATACCATGCAGGAGTTGGAAGATTCAGGCACTTTCACTATTCTCCTGCAAACTTTGAGCAAAGAGAGAGAAAACAAAATGCATTTCTACGACATCATTGCTAGGTCAGCTTAATATTAGGCTTAATTGCTTTGGTGTATTTTAAAATGCTTATAAATTGAGACTGCTAAAGTCCTTGATTTCTAAATCAAACCAATGTATGCATTCCAAGAAGGATGGCTAAAAGTAAAAAAATTGGGGTTCTATTCCTAGCTCTGGACTTCTGGTGTGGCATTGCCGGTTAATGCGGAAAACTGCAACGTCTGTGTGGGCCATTAAGGCTGGCAGTTCTAACTCACCAGCTGCACCTTGGAAACCCTGTATAGGGTCGCTATGAGTCGGATCCTGACTCGATGGCACTTAGCAACAACAACAATAGCAATTCCTAGCTCTGGTGTTGGGACAATAGCTCAGATGTCTGGGCCTCAATATCTGTATCTACAATATGGTATGAATGCAAGACTGACTGTAAGTGAAGACAAAGGCAAGGTCTAAGGATGGTCCCCCTAAGGATGGGGAGTTCTTGAGCCAAAGTTGACCATCAGTGGAGTGTTGGGTCTTTCAGGAAAGGGTTTGCTTTAGTATCTCATCCACATTCAATAATTAGCTGAGAGCAGTTTGTGGAAAGTGATGGATTTCAGAGCCCAGCAGCTGGGGCCCTACTCATTTCTGCGCCCTATAGTTGAAAGTCTGTGAGGTGCATTCTCATCTCTACCACAGCGAGTTACCTAAGATCTCTAAGCCACATTTTCTCATCTGTAAAATAATGATCGAGAATTCCTCCTAAGATTATTGTGGGGTAAAAATATGCAATTATTAAAATGTTCAGAATAAAAGTAATTCTTTTTCCGCTCCTTCTCCCGCACCTTTTCTCAGCAACAGATATTACAGATATAACAACGATAATGTCACAAAACTCTTTCCTATTTACTAAAACCATATTCATTTATAAATAACTACTAGCTCCACTAGCATCACCTAGGAGCTTGTTCATGATGCAAATTGCTAGGCCCCATCCCAAAACTACAGAATCAGAATTTCTGGGGGTGAATCCCAGGTAGCTGGTGTTTTTTGTTGTTGTTTTTAACGTAATGGGCAATCCATGAGCACACTAAAGTTTGAGAAGCACTGCTCTAAACAAATCATTCTTATTTCCTTTAGCGAGGAGAAAGGAAGAAAAAAGATAAAATCTCTTCAAAAAGAACTACTTAATGCCAAAAAAGAACGGCAGGTTGAAATACAGGTAAGAATTACTTTAGATAAACAGGGCAACACCAGACATTATGGAGCTAAAACAACAATATAGATACCATCTTTCTTAAGCAAAGGAAAGTGACATGTGAAGATGATTGTTTCACCTGGGGTGACCTTACGTGGGAAATACGAAGAGTAACTACAAAGCAGGAGCCCTGGTTGCCAAGTAGTTACGCACTCTTCTGCTAAAGGAGAGTTCCAGAGGGCTAACTCAGCAGCCACTTGGAGTGAGAAAAATGTGGCAGTCAGATTCCCTAAAGATTACAGCTTTGGAAATATATAGGGCAGTTCTACTCTATCTGATAGGGTTGTTTGAATCAGAATCGACTTGATGGTTTCATTTGGGTTTTAACTAGAGTGTTGGATGAAAGAGTATGACCCAACTAAAACACAGAGAGAGACAACAACTCTCTGAAGCTTGGTTTGTTTTTACCCCTCAGATCCCTTCTCAATCTCACACACACACACACACACACACACACACACACACACACACTCCTTTCAAAGGAAACCTTGTTCCAAGCAATCTTTTTTATTCCAATACCCCAGACTGAAGAACGCATTCTTAGATAGACCGTTAAGCACAATACAAACCTTGTTATACATTGTGATAGGCTTAATAATGTCATTTGTATTATATTTCAAGTACAAAGTAGATTTAATGAGCTTTTGTGGTCACTAGCATCCATCACATCTAATTTACTTCAGTAAGAAAATGCAACCAAGTTTTAAACAAATGACTTGCAAAACAATGTTGGGGCTACAACCTAGTTGATTAAGGATTAGCACCACCAGGATGATAAACTGTGTTAACAAGTAAGAAAGTTAAAAAGTATGGCTTAATATCAGTGTTTAATTGCTTACTTTTTGTACAAGATGATGCTTTACAACAGTGACTCTTAATTATTAGCCAATGTCTAAATTGCCCATCCTTATCTACACTTTGTATAGAGGGGGTGGGAATGATCCTCCCTGTAAAGATTTGTTCCCTCTTTTGAGCTACTGCATCCATAGGTATAGGTCAAGTTCATCAAATTGTATCAGATTACTCTTTTTTGCTTCTTTTTTCTTCTTCTAGTTGAACTCTGATCATCCAGTCATTGAAGCCAGGATAAGTGGGTATTATCTGCAAGTGTGGGTGTTCTTATGCATATGCCCTCTCTTTTTATCAGCTAAATGCTTCACTCTCCACTCTAGTCCTCTGTGGCGATGTCACTGACCCTGGGCCCAGGAGTCCCCAGGTCTTGCCACACTGCTGGCCAACCAGGTCTCCATCTGAGTTCACAGGAGTCTATTGAACGTGGTTGGACTTAGCTCGCAGCTTCATTTCTGTTTTTCCCTTACTTCCCCTTATTGGTGACCAACGTGGTCACCAATCATAGCACATGTCTGCTCGTTATTCCCAAAGTGGGTGCAGGAGAGACATAATAGCAGAGTTCTTGGCTGTAAAGAGTTCCTATAGGCCTAGGTGTTGTCTATATTCAGGGCACTCAATCCAGAAGTAGTTCAGGAGGCCCAGAACAGAGCTGGTTTACATGTCTGTTAGGACCACAGGGTAGCTGGAGGAGGAGGGAGAGGGGAAGCAGAGTGACTGTTTATAAGAGTTTTCTCCAAGACAAATATTGGTCTGGTGGCTCTGTGGTTTCTATAGGTCTGGAATTGAGCCTGCCTGAAACCAGGCACCAAGGCGGCATAGCCGGCATCTACCTCACACTGGTGAGATTCACAAAGATGTACCTCTGAATTTCCGGAGAGCAGGGTCTGCTGTGGGGGTAGAGCAGAGTGGGGACTGGCCACACCTCTGGTCACCAGGGGAGTGTAGGAAAACAGAAGGAATTATACCTTTCCTGTTGCCCTTTGAATCCATTCTGCCAGACTGCTTTATGTAGCCAATGCTGTTTGCAAAAGTTCAAGATGGCCAAGGCACATCCGGCCAGCTCACTTATCAGTCTCCTTTCACCATCCCTACTCAGTTTCTTCTGCCAGTTAAGTATTCAAGTCTCTTTTCTAATCTTTCTTTGGAATCTCAGGCTTCCAGGATTATCACCTGTGTAAGTTTCATCTTGTCTTCCATATCTTTGTTGTAGAGGGTCTGTGTAGTATGTCTGCCTATTCTGCCATCTTGTCGGAAGTCTTATAAATTGTATTTTTTTGAAAACCACTTTTCTTCTCTGGAAAGCTTCCCCAAAATTGGTTTGTGGTTAGGTTTTCTCTAAAGTCATTTTTTGTAAGTGATTCTTCATGCACATGCAAACACATTATTGGGTAGAACTGTTGAGTAACACGGGAGTGCAGTGGCTCCATATGATAAACACTGGACTGCAAACCACACAGTTCAAGGTTCAAGCCCATCACCTGCTCCAGAGGAGAAAGATGAAGTTTTCCGTTCCCTAAAAGATTTAAAGCCTTAGAAACCCTATATAAGGTCTCTATAAGTCAGAACTGTCCCCACAGCACTAAACAACAACTGGGCAATAGAGTCTACCTTTTGTTCATGTTGATAATATCCACATTTTCCAGAATAGTAGTTCTCAGCATTGGTGTATCAGAATTACAATTACTCTAGATCATCACCAATGATTCATAATGTGATTTTTGCTATTTCTAGTGGATGTATAAATAGGCCTCCATATGGTTTCAATTTGCATTTGTATATTTTTAAATTAATAGGAAATTAACAGTCTTATATTTACCTGGTGGTGTCGTTTTTGTTAAGTGCTGTAGAGTCAGTTCCGACGCATAGCAACCCTGTATAGGGTATCCGAGAAGTGGCTGATAAGCTTGAACCACCAACCTTGTGGTTCAAACTGGCCTTGCAGTCCAGAACATTAACCCACAGCACTACACCAGGACTCCTAGATTTAGTATATCTTGAAGTCCACATTTGCCACTACTGATTATTTCTCTTAGGTTTTGTTTTTTTCTTGTTAACATAGAAATGTGTTTCTTTTTACTTCGTTCCTGAAGGATATTTTCACAGGATATAAAATTTGGGATGACAAATTTTTCTTTCAGAATTTTAAAGATGTTGTCTTTTGACTTTAATTGTTTCTAATGAGAAAATAGTGACTATTCAAATCTTTGGTTCCCATTGAGTAATATAGTGATTTTATCTGCCTGCTTCTGAGATTTTATTTTTATATTTGAGATTTTATATAATGTGTTTCAGCATTTGACCATGCTGTGCCCAGATGTGATTTTCTTTATATTTATTCTGCTCAAGGTTCACTATTACTATTTTACTCTTTGTTCAAAAAATTGAATAATTTCTATTAATCTTCAAGTTCATTGATTTTTTCATTTATTACCTCCATTCTGCTGGTAAGCAAATCTCATAAATTTTTATTTTAGATATGTTTTTCAGCTTTAGAATTTGAATTTGGTTCTTTTTTATAGTTTCTGTATCTCTGGTGAGATTTCCTATCTTTTAATATTCAGGAGTAGCAAAGTAGTTCCTTTACTTTATTGAACATTCTATAAAATCCGTGTCTACTAATTCCAACATCTGGACATTTCAAGGTCATTCTTTGTTGATTGTTCTCTCAAGAATAGTCAACATTTTCCTGTTTCTTCAATGTGGAGCAATTTTGGATTATGTTCTCTGTTGTGTTGAAGTGACTCTGCATTCTATTCCAGTCCTCCTAGGTGTACTGACATTTTTGTTTTAGCAGGTGATTTAGTTAAATTCAAACTGAAAACTCTCTCCGACTTATAGTGGGTAGCAGCTCTAATCTCACTTCAGTTGTTTTTGCCCTTAGTTGGACTGCTTGAAATCTTTCTGGCATCTGTGTGGTTTGGAAACCTGCCAGAGATTTGGGCAAAGCTCATACACAAAATTGGAAACTCTCCTTCTCCAATTTTCTTTCTAAAGTTTGTCCACTCATTTTTCAGTGGGTGCCATACAGAGGTTCATCATGTAAGAAATCTGTCTTATACTTGAAAGTCTGAGTTTGGTACCTTCTTGAGTTACAGGGTGTGTAGTTTTTGTTTAGCTTGCTAGTGCTACATCTAGTCTGTTCCAGACCTATGGCTTTATGCTGATCAGAAGTTCCCGAAAGCAACTGCCTTTAGCTCATCCTACTGCATCCAGCTTGTACAATAAGCCATTTCAATACTGGAACTACCACTGAGATGCTTATCCTTGGAGAGGTTATGAGAACAGGAAGGCAAAGAGTTGTTTCCCCACTGGGCCTGACTTCTCATTTCCCTTAATGTTATTGGTGTGTGCTGCCGAGTAGATTCCAACTCGTGGTGACCTTATACGACAGAGCACCACTGCTCCATAGGATTACCTAGGCTATAATCTTCACAGGTTCAGATTGCCACAGAGCAACCGGTAGGTTCAAACCACCAACCTTTAGGTTAGCAGCCATGTGCTTAACCACTGTGCCACCAAAGTGTCTATATAATAACATATGTTGTTGTTGCTTGTTGTTAAGCGCCGTTGAGTTGGTTCCAACCCATAGCGGCCCTGTATATGGTTTCTGAGGAGCAGCTGGTAGTCTGGCACATTAACCCCCAATGCCATACCATTGTTATTGGTGGTGGTGGTGGTTATGTGCTGTGGAGTTGGTTCTGACTCATAGTGACCCTGTACAGGGTTTCCGAGGCTGTAAATCTTTACTAGAGCAGAAAGCCTCATCTTTCTCACACGGAACAGCTGGTAGTTTCAAACTGCTGACCTTGCAGTTCACAGCCCGATTCATAACCACTACGCTAACGGAGCTCCTTACACCATTGTTACTAGATTCCATCAAATCAGTGCCAACTCTGTAGAAATGTATGGGCTGGGCTGGGAAGTAGGAACGCTGGAGACAGTAAGCATAAGCTACCCTAACCCATGGCCATTGCACATGGTCAACGTGGTTTCCTCCAGGGTCTGTGTAATTTCCTTCCTACACCACCTATAAGTGTTTCCTTGATTCAAGAGAGCTTTACTTTCATTCAATCACCTCAAAAGAGATGCAGCCCCCAAAGGCCAATTCTTGA